GTTGAATTTACTTGAAACTTGGTATATATGCTGTTTGATATTATTAATCAAATGAAAAGAGGTTGCAACGTTTCCATGGGGTATATTTTATTTGTACTCGGATTTACTCGAAGGTTGCTCATTGTTGAAATTAAGCAAATACGTGTTTTGACAATTTTTAAAAATCAACCCTTAAGGATAAAGTATTGCTGCTACGTTTGTGTTTGAAATCTAAGATGGCGACATTATATAAAATTAAAACATTGTAAGGGTGAATTGGGAGTTAAAAGGTTTTATGGAGAAACAATATTAATTTATGCGAGCAAAGCCGCGGGGAAAAGCTAGTATTTATATAAAATACATAGTGTTGGCCTTTGCAATGGTTATAATCTGATTTTTATGATTTCCTTTTCTGCCATTGTTTTAGAAAGCTTTTAATCGTAATGTACGTAACTACAATAAATTACACAAGTTTTTCCTTTCCAAAATAATCTCGATTAATTTTAAAGATTTGTATTTATGTGGTTACTCATCCTTAAGTTTTTTAAAAAAACTTTTTTATTTGTTTGTTTCAGAGATTTACACAGCCTCTTAGAGACATCAACAACCACGACCCTGTCTTCAGTAAAAGCAGTTTAGAGTATGTTTATGTACAAGATTATTTACCAATTTATCATCAGTTAACTGACGATCAGAATTTGAGTGTATCTGATATTGATATGACTAACTATCGAGTAGCACTTGCTTTCGTTGGAAACAACAATTTTACTGCAAACGGATCGTCAACCGATCCTGCAACAAGACAGACACGTATCAGGATAACTAGTCTAAGGAATATCAAAGCACCAGCAAGCATAAAACTAAACCTAACTGCTAGTGTAAGTACACATATGTTTAATACTTTCAGAAAAATGGGAATGTTGAGGAACCAGCCAATAATAATTTACACTTATCGACAGTCCTTTGTTTAAAAATTATATTTTTCCTTTTTTTACACAATTGAGTTGCCTAACTTTGCGCCATTTAGGTAGTTGAGTCACATAATTTAAAGTTATTTTTTTAATTGTCTTTATTTAATTAAAACTTATCACATTGAGGTAAATAACGGTTTAATATCTGAAAACACATTGTTTTAAACAATGATAGGTAGACGTCCTGTTAGAGATAAGAAAAGCGACAATATTTTCCATCCTTCTTGAATAAAATTTTGAGAGGATACTTGTACATGCTATTGAGAATGTCCGAAGCGCAATATATCTTAAGATACCCTGGTGTTTGTAAATAACCGCCAAGCTTACTAGTGAATGTCCGCCGGTAATTTTTTTCATGACGATTTCGATTATACACCAGTGAACAATGATATCATAATCACTAAGACGACATGGTTAATCTTCAGCTCATTCCTGTGCAGTTTTCCACATGCCATACAAAAAAATACTAAAAAAATCTGACACATTACAGGATTCGAACTCGCACACTCTGGCGTGGTAGACCTACGTTATAGCCATTGGGCTATTTAGAAAAACAGATGCGGGCAAGTCAACTTATGAAATCACGGAGATTATAATCTTTCTAGAAGTGAAATTTCGTTAGATGTGTTTTTATTGGTTGGATTATAACTGAAATTTTGACTATTAATGAAGGGCAGGTATAAAATGATGTCACAAATTGTTCTGCATTTTTGTGGACAATTGTAACACCTTAGTACTCCAAATTTTGATTCCAAAGCAACAATTTTATGGAAAGGTATTTTTGTACAAGAAGCATCAGTTATTTTGATTCCAACTTTTCGAACAAACATCGGCATGTGTTAACACTGTAAATTGCTGCATCCAATAAGATTCACAGAATCGTCTTGGTGCATGTTTATGTCCGATTCTGAAAGACTAATTGAACAATTTCAGACTTTCACTATCAAAATTAGGTTATTTAACATATACTGGTCATCTATAACGGACATTTACAGTAACGTACATAGAAAATTGTTTGTTTTAATCTTTAGACCGTCAAAAAGAAAATTGTTTATGATAAGTAATTTTAATGATCGAAAGTTGACCTTCACATGTTCTAAATCTAGCGATTAGATTTCAAAAAGTTCGTGTGGTTTAGATAATAGCAATTAATCAAAGTACGCTTTCGTTTATAAGGAAATTCTATTAATTGTAACAAGGAGATATATTGATAAAGATTAACAAAGCAAAAAAATATTGCTTATTTTTTTTGAGTCATGCCTTTATCATGTTATTGATATATTTAACAAAACTTAAAAGCATCTTAATCACATAATTATCTGAAAATAATATTTGGCTTTGCATTGTTAATATAATGAGTTCATTTTTCATTCAATGCTTGAAAGCAATTCTCTCGTGTTTGAAGGGTCAAAACCAAAGTCCTACAGTTCATGATTATTAGATCCTACAATAAATGATTATTGTTCATTTCAAGAAGTTAGAGATATGCCAGTTCCCTTTATTAGGATGCGCCGTAGCATAATTCCAAATTCACAACCGATCATCAAGGGAGAACTAGACGAAAGTGTACAGTAACATTTGCAAAATTATTTAAACTGCCTCGTTAAAATTTAGGTATATGCTTTATTTAAAAGCATATTTAGCCAAAAATAATAACAAGTTAATTAACTTAACGTTCTACACACCTATAAACTTTTGCTTTGTTTTCTTTTGTTAATTTATATACATTTTTGTTTTAAGAAATTGCTTAACATTTTCGTCTAGTACTGTACAGTTTTAGCCGATCTCTTAAGACCGCCCATCGAGATCTCTGCTCGTTCAAGCTTGTTCCAACTATTTCTGTCTTGCTCACGCCTGGTGTGTATTCTTTCTATCTTCGCGCAGATTTCTTCAAGGTCACAATTCTAACAAATTGAAATAGACTGTAATTGTTTGACTGTTTTGGTGTAAAAAGTTGATTTGTTTTTACATAGGACGTTAGAAGACCACTTCGCACCGCTTACGCAGATATAAACGTGCATGTACTTCTTAAAAGTAACGGATCAGTACCAGTTCCGGCATTTTCAAATGATTCATATGTGGTCAGTCACAAAAATGGCGAGCTCATTTTTAACCAAGAAATTCGTTTAGCAAAGGGAAATGGATATTTGGCAAACATCAAACAAATTGGTGAGACCAAAAATTATAAACTGCTGCTTAATTTTAATTCATTTATTGCATTACTTTCAGGTTACGAAGACTACTTCAAAGTGAGTTTCGCAAATAGGGCCGAAGGAGTATTGAAAGTAGATCTATTAAAACCCATATCTCATTTATCAGAAACAAAAAACAGCAATGTTCAATTTGAAGTACAACTGTTAAATGAAGGTTCATCTCAACCTGCTGTTACCAAAGTCACAGTCAATTTTCCTCAAGATTGAAAGAATTCGAGCGATGAAAAAAAACACATACACATACAATAAATATTATAGATTATAAAACACAAAAAATAGTGTCAGCAATGTAAATGAAAATAAATAATCAATCAAATATATTGCTCATTAAACTTTATTAACAAAAAACAGTATCAGCAATGTCAATAAAAAATATAATCAATCAAATATGTTGTTTTGTATGTATGGATGTGTATGAATGTATCGTTCAAATTTAAACGAAATGTGTGTTCGGACACATAGTAGAAGTAAAACTTCAACGGACAAGTGGAAAAACGATTCGCAACAAAATTTTTACTTCAAGTTTTATGGGCAGATTGTTAATGTACTTGTCGTTTTTCCACTTGTCCTTTCAAGTTTCACTTCTACTATGTCTCCCAGCACACATTTCGTTTTCACAGGTTTACTGCAAATTATGATTTGGTTTTTACGTGGAGAGTATAGAAAACAACAGCTGAGCACAGCACACGCCGTCGGGACTCTAGCGGACTCCCCGTCTCCGCGCGGCTGCGCATTTTATCCATCTAACACGGCTGTTACCATCTCTCAACCGCCGCCAGCTTTTCTCCCCCACTGCCGCTGCCGCCTCTCTTCACGCGATATACCGTCTACCCCCTCCACGCTGCCGTAACGCTTTTTCGTGACAGAAAAAATCGTAATACCCCGTCGTCTATATAGAAGTTTCACTTCAAAAAACAGACTAAGGAAATTCAACATTTTAACAACAGAAACCAATACAAAAAAATAAAAAATTTTCTAATTAATAGTAAACCCAGATAGTAATGGTATTTTGCGACTTATTGGGTATAACCTACATAGGACAGAGTAGAAGAACAACCAAAATGCGCTCAAAATAACGCTTATATAACATAAATTAAAAAAATTTAAACGTAACTTAAGAATGGATAATGTAAAAAAAATCGGTTGTCTGTAAAGTCGGTTTACTGACGATAGTTGAACGTGACAACGTCATAAGAAAATACTGATGGAATGGTTTCATTTTTCAAAAGAAAATTTTAATTTTATTTGTTTGATAGATATTTTGTATGGATATAGAGAAGGAGGTAAATGGAAATGTATTATTGT